CGGCAGTCGGTGCGTAGCAGCACAGGGAGCCCCGGTCACGTGAGGGCGTTGAGTGCTCTTGTTCTGTGTTCGAATACGTACTTGGGCTGGCGGTGGAACAGCCTCTTGCGAGGGAACGCGATGCTGTCCGGCACGGCAAACAGCGACCAGAACGGGCGCGATTCCAATGCGCAGCAGCACACCTTGACGTTCTCAGAGTCCGTTAAGTGCTGCAGCTTGTTGCAGAGTGCTCTGCACTCACTGAGCTTTGTCAGGGTGCATGACGTGGTCAAAGTGCTGGCGCCGAGCGCTCGTGGTGGCTACTACTCCTTGGCCGAACGGCGAAGAGCACTGAACGGGACGTACACCTCCATCATGGCTCCTTGAAGGCAGGGCTTGTTCCACACGTGCTCATGTGGGCCCAGTAGCAGGCGTATACAGTGGTGAAGCCTGCAGACGAGTTGTAGTTGCTACATAACGCCTCCAAGCCGGGGATTCTCCGTTGACGTCAATCTGAGATATCTCGCCCCTTTTCACGTTTTAAATGGGCTTTTTATATTTTTAACAAAGGCTTTCACTTATATAAAGTAAAAAGGTCCGTAATAAAACAACACTGCGTGTAGTGCTGCGCCGCTCCGTACCCAGAGTCGGGTGCCCCAAGGTGCGTCGAGCAGCACACATGTAGGAGAAAAATCCCCCCCCCCCCAGAAGCATGAGTATAGTAGCGACAGCGATGGAGACTGGATTGACGATCCCCACGCCTCCACGAGCTCAAGCGACGGCGAGAACACTGCAGAAGGGACACGACTGTGAGCGCCAGGTCTCGCTGCTAACAGCACTAGGAACCGCCGCTGTTGTTGCTGACAAGCAAACGAAGGCTCCTAAACGCTTTCACTACTACATACCGTTCGTTGGTGCTGTCTGTAAGTACGCATTCGAGAATGCATACGAGATAAGCCACCGCACGCTGCATCTCTATCGCAAGCGCATGCAAGACGGATGGATATCGGCAAACAGCATGGCAACGCAGTCAATACGAATGAGGCTGCAATTAACGAGGCCTTAGTGGTGGTTTGGTTTTCATCGATTGCAGAGTTGGTCGGTGAGCTGGGTCCCGTGCGAGTGCAGATAAAACCACAGGGTGCATCCAAACAGAGACGCTATTTCTCCAAC